TCAACACCCCCAGGCTCAGCACCCCCAGGCTCAGCACCCCCAGGCTCAGCACCCCCAGGTCCACACGCTCAGGCTCAGCACCCCCAGGCTCCGCACCCTCAGACTCAGCAACCCCAGGCTCAGCACCCCCAGGCCCCGCACCCGCAGGCTCAGCACCCCTAGCAGCACCAGAGTCGACTGCTACCTCGACAGGCTCGACAGGGTCTACCTGGGACACACCTGAGGGGGCAGGAACCTGAGGGGGGAGGGGGTCTACCGGAGGAGCACCTGGTGCTAGGAAGAGCGGCGGGGGGGAGAGAGGGGCAGTGCGGTAGGGAAAGAGACGGTAGTAAGATACCGACTCGTCAAACGTGACGTCCTGAGAGGACAGAACACGACGCGAGGTGGGGTGGTAAAACTGCCACTCAGGCGCGTCAGGGGGGAAGCCAAGGAAGACGCAGGGAACAGCACGGGAGGACAGCTTGTCCGCGGAAGAATCGCGGACAAAAGCTCGAGATCCCCAGACACGGAACACCGACGCATCGCCAACCTTCCCCGTCCACCGCAGAGTAGGTGTGGTCTCCGGCAGGGAGACACGAGGCTGAAGGTTGAGCTGATGCGCAGCGTACTGGACCGCGAACGGCCACAGAAAATGGGGAGCAGCCGCATGAATCATGGACGTACGAGCGACGTCCATGACCATGCCAATGCGGCGCTCAGCAATCCCATTTTGCTGTGAGGAGGCCGGAAGCGTGAACGTCTGGCGGATGCCCTCCGCACGACAGAAAGCCCGCAGAAGGTCGGAGGAAAACTCACCACCTCTGTCGGAGTGCAGACGCAGAACAGGAAGGTCCGGGCCGAAACACTCGCTGAGCTGGCGACGGGCAGCGCGGATCCAGTCGATCAACACCTCAGTGACCTCACCCTTGCGGCGCAAGGGGAAGACTGTGGTGTAACGCGAGTAGTCGTCAACGACCAGCAGGAAGTAACGCTTGTGACCCTGTCCACGGACGCGGGCTGGGCCCCACACGTCCATGTGGAGAGTCTGCAGGGGAGCCTCTGTCGGAGGGAACTCGGAGGAGTGAGGAGCGGCGCGCTGCCGGCCCTCGACGCAAGGAACACAGGTAGGGGCAGGCCCCGGTGGAAGGGGAGGGAGGGACCGGGGGAGACCAGAGACAAGGGTACGGGAGGCCATACCTCGGAGACGAGGCAGGGAGGGGTGACCAAGGCGGTGGTGCCAAAGGAGAGTCTCGTGTGACAGAGGACGACACGAGCAGGGTGCAGACTCCGGACCAGACCTGGACGCGGCAGCAAACACCTGACCCGACGCGGCTACCTGACCAGACGCAGTAACCGGAGGAGACGTAGTAGTCAGTGTGTACAGGCTCGACCCAGGCCGACGGGTGAACGTGGCCAGGTGGCGGCCCGTCCGAGAGCACGTACAGTGGGTCACACGCTGGCCTCCATGGGTGAACTGGTCAACCCACACGTCCTGGAGGTCAGCTCCACTCACCAAGTTCGTAGAGAACGAGGGGAGGTGGAGTCCCGACAGTAAGCCCGACGGGGCCGCAGGACACGGTAGAACCGTGGAGGAGTGCGCAAGGACTGGGCCCCCAGAGGGGTCAGCCAGGGAGACTGCAACCGTCCGACTGAGCGGCGTGAGTGTGGTGCTGTCGCGAAAGAAGGAGCGCGACGCACCTGAGTCAAGTGTGAAGGTGTGCAAGGCCTCAGCAGGCGCAGTACCAGAGAGAGCAGACTCACCAGCACCTGGAGCAGCAGACTCACTAGCACCTGGAGCAGCAGACTCACTAGCACCTAGAGCAGCAGCCTCAATGCCCGGGTTGGGCGGAACACACAGGTAACAGTCACCCTCAGCACTATCAGTCACAGCATACATGGCAGCAAGGATAGCATCGAAATCAAGATCAAAGATAGCAACATTCTGCCTAAGCAGATCACCCCAGCGAGGGAGCTCAACGGCGTCAGGAAACTGGGCGCGCCAGGCGTCAGTCAGGCGACCGAAGCAGCGCTGCGTAGTGTGTGGCAGTCCGCACGTCTCCCCACGGCGACCGCCGGTGCGAAGAACGTAAGTGCAGGGACCAGCACCCCCAGACCTCCCACGCCCAGCGTACCACTCACGAAGCTGCTGGGCCGATGGGGTCTCACGGGAACGCGGCTGCTGCTGGCGCTGGCTACCGCCAAAGCCTCCACGCTGCGCGGCTCCACCTCGACCAGCACCACCGCCGCCGCCACCTCCACCGCCGCTGCCGCTGCCTCCACCGCCGCTGCCGCTGCCTCCACCACCCCCACCGCCGCCGCCACCGACGCCCCCACTCCCGCCACCACCCCCACCTCCACCACCACCCCCTCCGCCTCCTCCACCGCCTCCACCGCCGCCCCCACCGTCCCCTCCGCCACCCTTGCTCCCCTTGCCCTTGCCGTTGCGGCGCCTCCCACTAGGAGCAGACGCAGCCCCGACCTCCTCAGTGCCAACGAGGTCGACAGCAGCAGCAGAAGCAACAGCGGGGAGAAGGGGGGCGGGGGAACACCCCTCAAAGTAAGGGGCGCGAGGGTCGCCGCGAGAAGCACCTACAGCAACTATACTCTTCTCAGCTGCAGTGAGGCGCTCCTCTAGCAGGTCGACCGTGAGCTCGGTGGGGCAAAGGGAGAGAAAGTGGTCCCTGACTGAGGAAAGGGAGTCAGGGAGACGGGTGACTAGGTAGTAGAGGGTGATGTACATGGGGGGGGGGGGGTCTTGGCGCAGAACTCGGTGGGAAGCGCAGCGCGGTAGCGGGCGTCACTAGTGCGGAGGTGAGTAATGAGGTTAGCGACTGTGGCAAAGGCGGCCAGGTCAGGGAACAGGTACGGCAGCATGAGGCGGCTGAGGGCAGCAGTGGCAGCGGAGGAGTAGCGCGCTACGACAGCGTCATACAAAGACTTAGCAGTCTTGTACTGGCCAAAGTGCGCGCGCTCAGCAGACGGCAGGTGACTACGAACAGCAAGGCGAGCAACAGCGTCACGAGTAGTCCACTGCGAGCGAACCGTACTGTCAGCAGTGGCAGCAGGTGCTGGAGAGACACCAGACGTGTGATCGAAAAGCGAGACTCCGTCCTTGGAGTCGCACTGAAGAAAGAGCTGCAGGTCGGCTACCCAAACGTCGAAGTCAACCGCACGACCCTCAGCATCAAAGGTAAGAACATTAGGGCTAGCCATGGCGGTAGTAGCAGTAGTAGCAGCAGTAGCAGCAGTAGCAGTAGGAGCAGTGCGGGCAGGGCAGCGCGGCTCAGTAGGGCAGGGCGGCGCGGCTCGGCAGGGCGGCGCGGCTCGGTAGGGCGGCGCGGCTCGGGTGGGCGGCGCGGCTCGGCAGGGCGGCGCGGCTCGGCTGGGCGGCGCGGCTCGGCTGGGCGGCGCGGCGCGGCAGGCAGGCGGGTGCTTACCAGGGGCGGGTGCAGGGCAGGGCCGCAGCTGGCGGTTAGGTCAGGGCCGCGACTGGGGCGGCTGTAGAGCAGGGCCGCTACGAGGCGGCGGCAGAGCAGGGCCGCGACGGGGCGGCAGGGCAGGGCCGCGACGGGCGGCTAGGTCAGGCCGCGACGGGCGGCTAGGGCAGGCCGCGACGGGCGGCGACAGGGCAGGGCCGCGACGGGCGGCTAGGTCAGGGCCGCGACGGGCCGTTAGGGCAGGGCCGCGACGGGCCGAGAAGGCAGGGCCGCGACGGGCGGCAGTAGGGCAGGGCGCGCGACGGCGCAGGTGAGGCAGGCGCGAGGCGCGCTTCGGGCAGGGCAGGAAAAAAAATCTTATCGTGGTGGGCCCTAAAAAAAAACGTTCCCACTAGGGAACCTGCTCTGAAACCATGTCAGAAATGTGAAGGAAATAATGACTAGAAAGAGAGCAGTACAAGGTTTGTATAGGCAAAACCTAATTTGGGCTGTACCCCATAAGGAGTGCCCCACTACAGCCTAGAGCATAGTTCTGACATACACTACTCCCTTCCTCAAGGAAGCCCTCCGGTTCAAATGTAGGGCGAGCCACTGACGGTGGACGATGACGTATCAGCTCGCTTGTCGTCGGAATGTATGTGCTAGAATTACATTCTATATATAACTGCAGGCATATAGCTAGTGTAGTATCACTATCGAATTCTATCTATTGGTGGTGTACCCCTTGGCCACCTTTCCTTGCTCTATATCTTGTACTTACTTCTATAGTGAAACCCCTTCTCTCTCCTCACGCTACTCTCGTTACTTCCTAGCCTAGGTTTCTACCAACTCTAAGTCCTAAGCTAAGGATGTATTCTAACATGTTATCAGAGCCATTCGTTCCTCGGGCCTAAGCCTTTTTTATTCACTCATGGCGAGCGCCCCGCAGGCCCGTCGCGCCACGCTCGCCTCGTCGCACCCTCACTGGCGAAATCGCATGCGAAATCACATTTTTTACTCTCTCATGGCGAGCGTCTGCAGTGCCCGAAGCAGCGTTTGTCGCGTCCCCTGGTGCGACCTTTCATAGCGCCCCTGGCGTGCCCCACCCGTCGCCCCCTCTTCCCGCGCCTGCGTCTGCCGTGCGGGGAGGTGGCGGGTGGCGGGTGGGGAGGCTTTGGCGGGGGACCAGCCGCCTGTGGCGGTCGTCGTGGCCCTTATCCTCCCACCCGTCCCGATTTCTCCCCCCCCCCCCCCCCCCCCCGGTTGCCTCGACTACCCGCGCCTGCTTCTGCCCGAGGTGGCGGGTGGGGGGGGGGCGACGAGGTAGTGGAGCCCGCGCCCTACTCATGCCTCTGCCCGCGCCCGCGCTCTGCCCGTGGCTGCTACTGTGCAGGGGGGAGGCCGTCGTGGGCTGTCTTCAGCCCCCCCCCCCCCCCCCCCCCCCCGCCCACTTCCCTCTTCTCTCCACCTCTGCCGCGCCCTGCCACGACGGACGTGTTGACGGGAAATGGCCCCGCCCTCGCTTGGGCGAAGACGACTTCGCAGTCGGCGTGTGCATAAGTCGGCATCGACCGCGTGCAGAGTTCGACCTCGACCTGCCCGCAGAGTTCGACCTCGACCTGTCCGCAGAGTTCGACCTCCACCTGTCCGCAGAGTTCGACCTCGACCTGTCCGCAGAGTTCGACCTCGACCTGTCCGCAGAGTTCGACCTCGACCTGTCCGCAGAGTTCGACCTCGACCTGTCCGCAGAGTTCGACCTCGACCTGTCCGCAGAGTTCGACCTCGACCTGTCCGCAGAGTTCGACCTCGACCTGTCCGCAGATTTTCGACCTCGACCTGTCCGCAGAGTTCGACCTCGACCTGTCCGCAGAGTTCGACCTCGACCTGTCCGCAGATTTCGACCTCGACCAGTCCGCAGAGTTCGACGTCGACCTGTCCGCAGAAGTCGACGTCGACCAGTCCGCAGAAGTCGACGACGACCTGTCCGCAGAAGTCGTCGGTAGAGGATGTGGGTCGACGAGCTCGCAGAGGACGCTGGTCGACGAGCTCGCAGAGGACGCTGGTCGACGTGCTCGCTGAGGACGCTGGTCGACGAGCTCGCAGAGGACGCTGGTCGACGAGCCCCGTCGAGGAGCATTGGACGACGGGCTCTACTCGACGAGCTCGTCTAGGTGAACGCTGTTCGGTGGAGCATCGTCGAGCTGGTCGACGTAAGTCGCTCGACTGGCGAAATCCGACGTGTGGGCGAATGTCGCCAAGGAGGTTTTCGCGAAGTCAACCTGCGGAACGGCATCACGTGCTCGACGGTGCACAGCTGGCAAAACGTCGACACGTGTTCTACCTGGCACCTGCGCAATGTGCCTGGCGGAGCGACCGTCTACCTGCAACTACTTGGTAGGTGCGCACATGCGCAGATGTTCACCTGCCGCTGCGGCACTTGCAGACCGCTGCGGTGCAACGCTGGTAGACTACTCTGCTGCAGCGTTGGCAAGCCGCTCTTCTTCTGCGCTGGCAGAGTTTGCCCTGCAGAGGGCTTGCTAGGTGTTGCTATGCCATTTTAGCTATATCGACTTGCATGCCTCATTGTAATCTAATGTTCTTTCAATTTCTTAATGAAACTCTTGCCAAATCTCTCTGTGAACACAGCAAGTAATGAGAACGCCTAGTGCAATGCTACGATCACCCGCACAACCTTGTGCCTTCCCCCGTACTCCACTCCCGTTGTGTAGTGACTCTTCGCATGGTGCGGTGAGCGTGGACGGCCCCGCATAAAACCTTCAGATTAGCCGAATTTTGCGTTCATTACCTACGTTGTTGTAGGCCGGAAGCCATCTAGACCGCCATGGTCGACCAGGAAGTCGAAGCAGGCGTAGAGGATACCCTGCAGGTGCGGTTAGATGATGTTCGGGCACGCCACGCGGATGGCGAGTACGGCGGAGCGAACGTGGACGTTCTGCTCCTTGGAACCCGCGTGCAGTGGGCGCGCGATCATCCAACGACCCGTACTGAGGCGGATGGTCTACCCGCCACTCCCCGACCGGCACGCAACGAAGGCAGCGCCGACGAGAGAGTCGACCAAGTCGGCAGCGACGAGGGCACGAGGAGGATGAGTGGAGTGATCAGGGTCGCCGACGACGGGGTCGGCGGAATACATGCGCGAGTGCAGCAGTCGACGGCGGCCGCGGGCAGCTCGCACGGCGACGTCGACAGTCGACGTTGCTCCCTGCAGAGAAGTGGAGTGAGGCCGAGCTCCTCTACGCACGTGGCGGTTGGCGGAATTGTGCCAGCCTACGGGTATTTTAAAATTTCGCCGGACAAGTTCGTCGTGCCTATACCGCTGGAAGGTCGACGAGACCTCATCACGTGGAGGGAGTCGTTCGAGCCCTAGCTGGAAATTGCCGGGCTGAAGTGTTTTGCCGACGGCGAAGTGGTGACGCCAGACAAGGACGATGTCCAGCTACGGGCAGAATTCCGCGCGGCTCATCTGCTGACCTTCATGGTCATCTCGCGCTGCTGCTCGCCGATGGTGCAGATCGCTCTGAAGCCGTGTCGAGTTCGACTGGACGCTGGCCACCAGGCGTGGCGGTTCATTATGTCGACGTACCAAGCGACCGACGACCTCTACATCGGCCAGCTGGAGGAGCGCTTGACTCACCTCAGGATGGGCGAGCAGGAGTCGGCGACGGACTACTGCAACAGAGCTCGACGGATCCTCGCCGACATGCAGATGGCGGGCGTCGACTACTCGACGGCGTCCTACATAACGCACGTCGTCAAGGGACTGCCGAGTGGCTATGATCTGATGCGGCGGATGATGGCGATGCCTGGCGTGCGCGAGTCGCTCAACGAGGATACCCTCACGAGCCACATCATCAAGGATGAGGCTATGCAGGAGGCAGAGAGGCCCACGGGGCTCCTTCCGCATGCGAACTACGTCGCCTCGACGAAGCATAGTGGTCAGCAGGGGCAACGCGGGAAGCAGAGCGGAGGTGGTAGCGGTGGTGGGAAGTCGGCGAAGGACGCCGACCGGTCGAAGTCGACGCGGGACAACGGTAGAGGCGGAGGTGGTCGACGGCGGGAGTGGTGGATCGGCGGCGACCCCGACCACCTCTCCTACGAGTGCCCCGACCGCGAAGAGAGCGACGAAGACAACAAGGGAGGCCGCGGGAAGTCCGACGGCGGTCGTCGACGGGAAGTCCGAGGGCTTGCTAGGTGTTGCTATGCCATTCTAGCTATATCGACTTGCATGCCTCATTGTAATCTAATGTTCTTTCAATTTCTTGATGAAACTCTTACCAAATCTCTCTGTGAACACAGCAAGTAGTGAGAACGCCTAGTGCAACGCTACGATCACCCGCACAACCCCGTGCCTTCCTCCGTAGTCCACTCCCGTTGTGTAGTGACTCTCCGCAGGACGCTGTGAGGGGGAGATGGCAGGGCTGGAGGCCGCGGCGTTGGGGGTGTTGAAGCCCCCGTGAACCTCCCGCCCCTCCCTTTTCCTCCTCCTCGTCGCTGCCCCTGCATCTCTTGTGCGTGCCGCGTTGAGGGGGGGGGGGGGAGGAGAGAGGGTGTAGGGGTGGCAGGTAAGTCAAGGCAGCCGCCCCTCCTCCTCTCTCTTCCGTTGCACATGTTCTAACTCTTCCTCCTCCTCTCATCTCCTACTTGTGCTCCTCGCGTCTTTTGTCATGCCCGTTCTCTCGTTTGTCTCTCCCGACTAGTCCATAGTACAACAAGTCGACGCGTTAGATCCGTCGTTTCTGGGCGTGTACACTCCCCTACGTGCACTCCGGGCACCCGCTGCGGGGGTTAAGCCGCAGGCGGGCACCTGCCGTGGGACTCAACCAAGGTGGTCCCAGTTGCTACTCGGTGACTCCTCCCCTATGGGTGACTGCCCCTCACTAGCTAGTCTTGCATGCAGTTAAGGGGGCATCTTAGAATCACATTCTATCTATTATTGCTGACAGATAGCTAGTGTAGTATCACTATCAAATTATATCTATTGGTGGTGTACCCCTTGGCCACCTTTCCTTGCTCTATATCTTGTACTTGCCTCTATAGTGAAACCCCTTCTCTCTCCTCACGCTACTCTCGTTACTTCCTAGCCCAGGGTTCAACCAACTCTAAGTCCTAAGCTAAGGATGTATTCTAACAGTATGGTTAGAGAAGGCTGAAGTGTAACAATTGGCTCATGTATCAGTCAACGTGTCGGAAGAGATGGGCGGTGACGAGTGTGATCATGTGGCTGGCTTGAAACGGGCCACACTAGCGGGGTCGAAGTTTTGGCACGACGAGTGTGAGGATCTAGGATCGAGCTCATAAAAGAGAGTTTGAATTGAATGATCCACCTGGGTACAACACGAGGCTATATATAGGCTCGACACAAGGCAAATAACCCAGGTGTTACGCGAATGTTCTGAGGATCGTGAAGCGTCCCGAACAGAACCTTCCCGAACTCGGTAGAAAGCAATTCGGTGGGAACCGAAAGGCTTGAGTTCGGTACACGTAACCTGGTTCGGTGCTATAACTATAATAACATATAGGAATGCACCTAACCTAGGAAATCAAGCATATCTATGCATGATAAAACAAACCCAAGCTAGATATAGCATAATAAGCAAGCATAAGCCGTCGTACTCTCACACGTCCCCCCCTCAAAGCTGGGTGGTGTGAGAAACACCCTGCTTGACAAGATAGTCCTTGAGAGCACGGTGTGCGTTGCCCATATCAGCTTCTGCAACCCAACTGTCCTCTGTGGGGTCATAGCCTTTCCAGCGTATCAGGAACTCGAGGGTCTTGCCGCCGCGGCGCCGATGAGTGAGAACGCGCTCCACTTCGTACTCTGGTTCATCATGTATGAGAACAGGTGGTGGTGGCGGTAGCTGCTGTCCCTGGAACTGTTGGTTGGGGTTCTTGTAGGGCTTCAGTAGCTGAACATGGAAAGCTTTGTGAAGCTTCCATGTAGTAGGTAAGCGCAAGCGGAATGTTACTGGTGTCACCTGTGCCTCAACGTGAAAAGGACCACAGAAGCGAGGCCGGAGCTTGGATGGTAGGTGAGACAAGTGCAAGTTGCGCGTGTCAAGAAGCACCTGATCTCCTAATGCTACTGAGTGGTCACGTCGCTGGCGATCGGCATACTGCTTCTGGGAGTTCTGCATCGTCGTGAGGCGTCGCTGAGTCTTCTCCCATAGCTGCTGCATGGTGGTGACGAAGTCATGTGCGGCTTGGACGTGTGCCGGTTTGGTTGGCTGCTGTGGTGTAAGTGGTTCCCGTCCGTAGCACAGGAAGAAAGGAGATTTCCCTGTGGCCGCATGTGACGCGTTGTTGTAAGCGAACTCTAGGGTCGGTAACTGTTGATCCCAGTGGCCGACGTCGTCTTTGCAAGCTGTGCGCAGTAAGTGTTCAACCACCTGATTGAGTCGCTCTGTCTGTCCGGCAGTCTGGGGGTGGTATGCTGAAGACATTGCAAGCTTTGTCCCCAACAGTCCCATGAGCTCCTTCCAGAACTTACTAGTGAATTTTGGGTCTCTGTCTGAGATAAGTGTAGCGGGAATTCCGTGGATGGTGATGATGCGGTCGAAGAAGAGGCGAGCAATTGCTTCAGCTGTAGCCGTGGCGTTGGTCGGGATGAAGTGACTCATTTTGGAGAACTTGTCGATCACCACGAGTATGGCGTCATGCCCTCGTGAGGTCGAAGGAAGTCCCGTGATAAAGTCGAGGCTAACGACTTGCCATGGCTGCTCCGGTACGGGTAGAGGCTGAAGTAACCCTGCTTTTTTCTGCTTGCTACTCTTCATCCGCTGGCACGTGTCGCATGAGGTGACAAACTGCTGCACGTCTGCTGCCATCCCGGGCCAGTCGTAATACTTTGCTATCCTTGCTAACGTCTTGTTGCTCCCGAAATGTCCCGCGTATGGTACGTCGTGAAACTCCTCCAGTAGGATCTGCCGTAGCGGGGCATAGTTCGGTACCCAAATCTTTCCTGAACCCTTCCTTACAACTAAGT